TTTCCCTTCCCTGAAGGTGAATCTGAAATAAAGTTAATGTTATAAGCCAACTTCCTGACTTCATTGTAGAGATACAGAGGCCCAAGTACCAATTTTTCTGACTCAAAAGTCAGTCCAAAGTAAAGAAAACATTGCCAGAAGTTGCTGTTTATATTGATGACTGTAAAGCATCAGGGAATGCCCTTAATTGAAATATATGATTCTTCCTTGGATTTTATTGGTCACATCACAGAGCTACTGAGGGATGCATTGACACTGTCTATACCAATTTTTTTTTCAGGGAACACAAGAACAACTAATGCTGTACATGTACTGCCAAGTCATCTGTTAAAAAGTCCTCCTTTAAGCTTAAATATCAGATGATACAAATTCCATACACACACAAAAAAATCATCCACCCCTCTGATCTCGGTGCTTTCTTACTCTAGCTCCATGCCTACGCGATCTACCTGACACGTGTTTTTGTCAGGAAGGGGAGGACACGTGCACATTTACCTGAGGTACCAGGAGGTATGAGCTGTTTCACTAATGCAGATTTCACTGGTGTGGAGGAGGGAGAGTTGAAACCACTGCTGTAGGGGCTACTTGTATTGGGGCTGTAGGAGCTTGCATAACTGACTGCACCGAAAGGGTTACTGTACAAGCTCTGTCTCTTGAGAACTGCATGAAAGAGGAGAGTAACAAGTTATACTACAGAAACCAGTGGGAAAAAAACAAGCATAATACTATAAAATATTTTAATTACTAGACAAGCCAAGTAGAATGTGCCAGTTGCTATGCAGCTTAGTCTTAGAGACAGTCTTACTGTGAAATGAGTGGGAGAAGACAAAGTGATGACAGCTATTTTCCCAGTAAAAGCTAGATCTAAAAATTAAATACATTACAGTGCCCAAGTTCTTTTCTTCCACTTGAGGTGTACAACAATACAACTAAGGAGGTTCTAGAAAAAAAAAAAATGGAGAAATTAAACTTTTAAAGGGATCAGCACCATGCTCCTGGTAGTGCAAAATAGGGCTGCAATTGCTGCAGTAATAATTAGGCCAGCAATATGGGTGGACTTGAACATGGCATTGAGCTCTTGTACCAGAGAGCTTCGTACTGAGATATTTACTAAGTATCTTTTTATTCAGTGTAAGCTTTTCTTTTTAATGTTACTATCAACTGAAAGAGACTACAGCTGCACAAACGCTGCCTTCAGCAGCAAAGGCTCCTCCAGCTCCTCCTCCCAGCCCACCTTGCCCTTGGTCACAACCTCCTCAGTTGTCTTACACAAGCACTTATGGCACTGCACTCCTATCCAGGCTAAGGACGTAATTTTAATGTAAAAACATCTAGAAATATTTTGTTAAGTAATACCTCAAAAAACATTGTGTTAACACAACTGAACTGATGGCAGATTGCAGCACAGAGGCAGTAGAAGTTTTGCTAACAGAGACTTCTAGAACTCCAGAATACATGAGCGTTCTTACAATAACAAAAGATAGGGTCTTTATGAGGAGTGTCAGACAGCTTTAGTACGTAGGACTGATGGCAACATCTTCATATTAAAAAGATCTAGTTATACAAAATGAAACAGCTAATATAAAATTAGACATTAGCTCTCAAAACACTTTAGGAGAGAGTTACTCATCTTTTTCTTCATCTCAGTATATATTTTTTATAATATTCACAACCCATATACAGTACACACTTTTAGACAATTTACCAGGAAGTCTTAAATACCTCTTTTGCTCCAGAAAAGAGAAATAGAAAAAGCTGTGTGTAGAAAAATCACGCTCAAGTAATTTATTAGATTCATTTTACAAATCAAAACCATTTTTCAGACTCTGGAAATCTGATATTTGCTGTTGTTACAATTAAGAGACTAATTTATTCTGGCAGTTTCTGTAGTAATTCAAACCAACCATTAGTGAAGGCCAAAACTAGCTAAAGAATGTTTGGTTTTGAGCAAGCTCAATGCTTGCTCCAGAAATTATACTCACACAGCATGGAAAATATGGCAGTTCTTATTACACATATAGCCACATAGTTCTGGAGTGCGCTGTGCTGATCATGCATTTGATTTCAAATGCTTAAATAAGAACAACCTACTGCCTCACAGTTAAAACTGCAATATGACCAAAACTGCTCTCTTCTGCTTCCACTTCTTGACAATGCAGCCATGTCTTCAGAAAGCAGCTCCGCCAGCAATGCTCTCTTGGGTGCCATATAGGTCTGTTCCTGTAGTTTCTTTTGTGGGGTGCTCTAATCATGAAAATTCTGATACCATTTTAGTCTGCCATGTCATGATGGTGCTAGTTGGTTGGATGGTGATGAAAAAAGGAGTTATATTTCAAGGCAGGAAGAAAAAAAATTGATCTGGAATATGATGTCACCACTTGATTTGGAGAAAGAAGAGAAACAGATTGGATTAGCAAGACATAGTTACAGGGGCTGATGAAAAGGGACATCAGCAAGGATTCAGGAGATCAAGTAACAGATCCCTATGAAAAGCCTTATCAACGGAGGCTGGAACTGAAATACATTGAATCAATAAGCTGAGTGACAGTGGTCCCTGATGTGCAACTGCAACGTAAAATTTATGGCACAAGATATTCTAGCAGCTATGGGGTATCAAAAAAAAAGTCACAGAAGCCTCTCTTCCAGAGGAGCCTCTCACCACCCTATTTCCCTGAATATTCTGCTTTGATCTGAAGAACTATCTCCTTTTTCATTATAAATCCACTTTTATCATGCAGTCTTTTCCAAACAGCCATATCAATGCCCATTTCATTACCACGAAGGCTTTCCTTTATTAGTACTGGAGGTGAGCTGCCATACGCTCACAGACACCACTGCTACAAACAGATTTTCGGGGCTAGGAAAACAAGAGAGGCCAATCTGTTTAAAGATAATTTGAATATGAACACTGTCAAGTTGACCCATTTCATAGTTGGAACCTCCCTACCATTCTGCTCTCCCTGCTTAACTGTGATTAAGCTTTTAAGGATACAGCATTTGTGGTATTTTAGGAAGATTTCCCCTCAATGCTAACAAAACAAAACAAAAAAACAAACAAACAAACAAACAGAAAAGCCATGAACAGAACTGTTGACTGTTGCTGCTTATCCTGTAGTGATATCCAATCCTATATATTCAGTAAAGTCATCCTGCAGGATCATAATTTCTCCAAACTCACATTACAATTTGTAGCTTTCTGTGATCTGGGCATTTTATCATTGTTTAGAATGAGTTTAAAAAATAGTTAAAATGGCATGCTATAGTATTACTGATAAGAAATAGGCTCAAGAAAAAAAAAAGATTTCAAAGGAAGTTAAAGGCTCAAAAGAGCTATAGAAAATATATAAGGAACAGCAGTGCTGTTTAGTTGACAGGAAAAAAAAATAATTCTGTTTAGGCCTTTGGTGCTTTACTGCTAGTAGAACATCAAAAAGAAGCTGGTAAAACCATGATGGAGCAGGCACACTTTCAGCCTCAAAATGCCATGTGCTCAGTCCTTCTCCAATTTGTGCTCTGTGCTAACATACCAGATATAAATACGTAACAGCTCTGCTAGCTTAATACAGTGTTTTGATCTAGCACAGAATACTTTTTTTTTTTTTAGAGGATCTCCAAGTATTTTGATTCTTAGTGAAAACTTCTGACCAAGGTGTAACTATGCAAGTGGCATAAAATTCCAGAATCATGACTCATGGTCTGATGTTTCCTTTCATTTATCCACACATGGACAAAATAAAAGTTAATTTTTGTTTGCAAGTCATTAAAAAGTTTTAGATAGAAGTAACTGCTGCTTTTCATCTTGTTCTCTCAAGTATTGCTCTGAATCCCCTAGCTTCATTTCAGAACAGATATACACAAGCCAACAGCACTCATATGCATGAACTCACCTGACATAGTCTGCTCCAGCCTGTGGATCAGGGACTTTTTAGCACATTCAATGTCAGGACTCGGGTAATCCAATACCTGCCTGCACCAAACTAATGGACTAACAGATTTTTGCACTGGAGTCAGTTTCTTCTTTGGAGATGTGTATAACCTGAAAAGGAAAAAGAAAAAGTCTTTGAAGACAAAATGGGGTGTAACAGAAGATACTACATACTACACTACTTCTATTCTTAGACTATATCTGTATTACAAATCCCAAAACACTAGGATAGCACAAGTTTTACTTTTAAAATAACTCACTTGGATACAGTGTCATTCTGACAACACATACCTGCCCAAGCCTTTCTGGCAAGAGCAGAAGTCTATCTTGATACACTAGAATACACCAACTGATGTAGCAGAAAAAAAAAAATACTTCACTTTTCAGACATATTAGGTATACAGGCAATTTCATGTGCTACATAAATGCACAACTCAGAACTAACCTTTCCAGGTTTAAGTTGCATCTACTTCAGAAGTAGATAAAGCAATATGCAACTGTTTCCTTAAACACAAAGATGTAGCAAGTGACAAGCATGCTAAGTAACAGCACAAAACTGCACAAAATTTAACACAAAGTTTCAGGCACAGAACAAGTCTAGTATTTTGTATCCTTGAACAATAAAACAATGTTTTATTTTACTTATAGTTTGTATCCTAGCACCTGATCTCTGGAACACAAAACAAAAAGACTCTTTGTCCAATGGGATGCACAGTCAAGCATCAAGGGCAAGAAACAAGCGATAATGCAGGCACAGGAGGGTAGGGGAAACAGTGAGACAATATTGTGATGTGGGACACACTGAGGCTTCTGCCCACGAGCAGCCCCATTCGTGCATTCTGATGCCAGCATTCTATGACTGCAGAAATAAGCATTCCATTTCAAGGGCTTCAAAATTGAGCTGAGAAGTTCACTTCCCTCAAAGCAATGGAAGAAGCTTAAAGGAAAAGCCATATCCAATCCCATATTGAATACAAGTATTTGAGCTTCATTTTTGGACTGAAAAAAGAAACTTGGAAATTTAGTTCAACAAAAGACAGTTAACAGCAAGACTTACAGCCCTAACTAGCACTTTTGCCCGTGTTAAAATGGTTAAATGAACGTTCCTTCCAGAGCTGTCCGACGACACACCTGATATCCCAAGCGAACACGGAGCTCCCTAGGCACCGCGGCGGAGGAACCATCAGCCGCCCGCGCAGCGCTCCTGCACAAGGCCCACAGCTGGGATCCTTGTTTTCTGCGTGCCAGCAACATCAGCACCACAGAGGGTATCCTCCACAGCTGCGTTACGAGACCATTAACCCATCAGCCTCGAGTTCTTAAGCCCAGTTTATTTCATAAAGATCTTTAAAAGCTTTTTTTTGTGTGTATGTGTGTCATTTCTTTAAAAGGCTCCTAAGAAGCATGTTTAAGAAGCTGCTTGTTCAGCATGTGCTTTATGCCACCCTTCCCTCAAATACCAAAAAAGTACTTTGTAAATGCAGGAGAAAGTCTTTTCATTAGCTGATTGCTTTTAAACAAAAGATAATCAGTTTGTGACGACAAAACTATATCTTTACATAAAGCTGATATAGCACGTAGACTAGGAAAATATGTGAGATTTTGTCTAATCTCCATGATTATGTATTTAATTAACAGTGCCAACAGAAAGCCCTTTCAGCATAATTCAAAGAGTAAAAGAAAAAGTCAGTTTATATTTCACTTCCAGGATTTCTGCCTCATCTTTCTCTACTTACGATACAGTTTATATTCCACTTTGTTATTATACCCAGAACACTGGAATTCAAACTTGCCCACAGTGGTTTTATTCTATTACCAAAATAAAGTCCGAACAGTTGACCTACCTCGTCAACTGTTGACCTAGTGGAAAGAACACTTTCAAGAACCATTTACAAGAAAAGCAAGATTTAAGTTAGCTATAGCAGATGTATTAAACTCAGGAGAAAGAAAGTTATTTATACATAAATACACACACAAAGCATGTTACCTAGCAATATCCTCAGCACACCATACAAACTCTGCCTAGAAAAATGCTAAGAACCCATCACCCACTTAAACCCCTTGCATGGGGCAGGAAGTGTCCGTTTCCACAGTTCTTTGTAAACAATTACACAAATTATTTTATGTGATTATCTGCATACAGCTAAAAGCTGTGATCAGCATTTACTGACTTTCTAGCACTCAGTGAAATTGTCTCTTCAGTCACTTATTTTCGTGTAGGCTTCTCTATGCCAAGATATGTTTTACCCAGCGCAACCGAGCCAAAGGCAATGAGCTAACTCCCGTGCTGCACAGCATCGCCCTCCAGAGAGCTGACGTGCCTCGCTGTGTCCCAGAAGTCCCACACACCTCTCAAGTGTTTACAGTAACACCCAGGGCAATGCACGAGAAATAAAAGTGCATGCCCTGTTTTAAAGGTACACCAACAGGCATATATTGAACAAACCTGCAAAACTAATCCAAACATTATCTCCTATTTTAAGCTCTAACACATTATTTCATTCAATTTTCAAGGGCTGCGTTTGTCTCATGTGCAGAGTATGCAGTGAAACTGTGCCAGACACGTTGCAGATTCTCCCATCTCTTTCCAGCCAATCGGTTTTAACAGCCTTAACTTCACATTTCAAGAGAAGTAGCAACTGTAGAATATACACGTTCCATGTTACTCCACAGCCTCATGATAAACACGTGCACCAAAGCAAAGACACTGGTTCTTTCAAGGCAGACTCTCGCACACCAGGAAGTCCATATACACATAGTTATGAAGCCCACATTCCCTTATAAAGCAGGGATTTTTATGCCCCATCTGGCACAGAACAGACTGTAAGTTTTGAACCAGAGGCAAGTCTGTTTAATTTTTAAAAAACACAGGCAAAGCAAGAGTGGGGCAAGGGAGAAAACTTCTTTCCTTCCTCTCTTCCCAACAGCAGGGAGGGAGAAAGAACAGAAAGGATATTACAGAATTAAAATACAGAAATAATGTCATAAAGCTAAGTGTGTTAAACTACAGCTTGATTCAAGAGACACAGGTCCTCCTTAACTGAAGGCCTTTCCAGAGCAGATCCGTTCTTATTTGTCCTGCTTATGCATACTACAGGGATATAGCACTGATAGCAGCACAGCAGCTTGGAGATTGCAGATGATTAATATGACCTCATACATTTTTAAACACTATTAAACCACTTTCTAAAAACAGGAAATTGAAAATGATTGAGGAAGCTGACAGCTTATAGTTTGCACTCATATTGCAAAAGTTGGCACACAGAAAACTATTCTCCAGCTCGCATGGAGTACAAAAAACTACAATGCAGTGACAAAAGATCAAGAAAAATAAAACATTAATAAAAAAAGCCAAGTTCAAGAGCTTTGGTCTGTTTTGTAAGAGCAATAAGAAACCTAAGCGCTGTGATTCTGATGCTCACAGCAGTGTTCCCTTCCTTTAGCTGTCACTAGTGGACTGTGTCACAGCAGCATTAAAAGTTTAAAACAGCCAGGGGCTGCACTGACTACTTATTTTAAGATGACCCAGGACAACAGGGGTACAGCTGCTGCAGAGAGCCCAGTGCTGCTCCAAGCTCACACACCAACGTCAGCCTAGCAGGGCAAGCTGAAGCGTGCCACAGCGGGACACAGCAGAGCTGCAGGAAGCTCTGAAACCTGGACATGGCCAGGGGCTGGGAAGGGGCCGCTG